ATAGCAGCAAGGAGAATGGAGATGACCTTCCCTAACTTTCTGGCTGCCTACTCACTTCATTCCTTAGTGAGAGTCTACTACTACTAAAGAGAAGGATTTTACTAATGATGTAGGGAGGGACCATCCTACACCAAAGAGCGATACCTGAAGAGAAATAGTACTCAACCTCTCAGAAAGCAGAGCTCCACTCTAGCCAGTTCAAAGACCACCCAAACGGAAGATCTGTTCCAACAAGCGTAGATAATGTTTTTTAGTTTGGGAAGGTACGGAAGAACGAAAAGTAACTGTACCGTGATTCAAGTTGAATTTGTATGCAGCAAAACTCACAAGTGCTAGCAAAGTTCCCTGCAATGATTCTCTTTGAGTTTTCATGTGAATGTCAGACAATATTTCATCAGATGCTTTATAGAAACTTAAGACATGAAATTTGGGCTTTAGGGATCCTGAAGAATACAATTCCCCAAACTATTCCAATCATCTTCCTATAAATGTGAGAGAAAAAGGAAAGAGCCAGGTTCATTTTAGACAAAAAAATGTAATGAAGTTATGCTCTGTGTAAAAAGCCAAAGACCGCTACAGGGAAGGGAAGAAAGGTACTAATGGATTTAATGACTACCCAAGACTAAACAGATCACCACCTTACTGATCCCCTTATTTTTCTATGGCAACAGATAAACTACTTTTAGTTGGAGGACACAAAATATCTCCAAGCATACGCCTGTTCTTCTCATTAATGCCTCATCATTTCAGTGCCTGCAAGTAAATACCTATGTTCACAACCCATCTGATAAGTAAGTTAAGTATCACATGCGCAGAAAATATGCATCACATCAGAAACCTCTGAACAGCTTGGAAAACATTATACCAATGTATCAAAATGTGAAGAGAAAAACCCAGAATGCTTTCAAGCAACTATTATTCATATTATAGTTCTAAAGTGAGACAACAGAATAGATTTATGTACCAAGTACATAAAGTACACCCAGAGCTGCAGTGCCCTCACTGTGAGGTAGATTTTCCACCCCATTAAAACCAGTTCTACAGGCACAGACAGCCCCACTTCTGACTTAATGTGCAATATTTTGTTAAAAGAGCTCTGAATAAACACTAATAATCCCTTTCACTAACTTCAGTAGCAGTTAGACAGGGCTCCATATTCATAGCAAACACTGATTTCTCTAGCAGGTTAAACAGCTAGGAAAACTAAAAGTCTTTTAATAATGGGCTTTGAAATTCATCTCAGCGCCAGGGGATTTTCAAACTTGCTACCTTTTGTCCTGATTCTCTTCAGTTCAGGAGAGAAGTTACACCCTGGGGGAATACCACCACCCACAACATATTTATCGCATATAGTAATATAAACGCATGGGGCTGTAGGTAGTATGTGCAGACATGGGATTTCCAGTCATGCTGCCAGTGGCTTACTGGGACTGGCTGCTGTATGTACATGGGTCTCACAGATGCTTCATTCTCTCTTCTAAACTGCCCAGCGATACCAATAGCTATGTGAAGAGCTGACAGCTTCTCTTACACAGCTACCAAGTCTATTATTATTCTTATTATTGGACCAGTAAACCCAGAGAGAGAGAATCCCTGATGTAGGCCGCATGGCTGAAGACATTTCTCAATCAGTTTGATACCATCAAGTCTCTAAAATAATCATTTCTCTAGAAAACCAACATTTTTCTTGTAATTTTTTTGTTTGTACTTCTTCTGTTTAGCACTAGCTTTATGAATTGCTAGTCTGCAAAACCACCAAATTCAAAAGATAGTATCAGATGAGCTTCTCCAGTCCATTTGCTGGACATCAAAAAGAAACATGTATGTACATTAAAATACCTATAAGCAATTTTAGAAGTCCAGGTTTCCTTACTGCAACTGCCTTAGGTGATGGTAACTGTGAAACAAGAAAAGGTTTTGCTTGCTTGTAAAGTCCTGTGAATTACTAAGTCTTCAGGAGAGAAGTATTGGTTTTAAATCAATAGAGAGGTGAAAGAAAACACAAAGTTCAGGTTGGGCGGTTGCTTTTCTGAGGAAGAGGAAGGAAAAGGAGAAAGGATACAGAAATCACAGTTTCCAAGATAATTCCCCAGTAGAAATAAATTAAGACTGTGCCTCATCTTTCTACTAAAAAAACCACCGTGGTCCTTCTGAAGTCCATCACACTGTTTCCACTGACTTCCCAAAATATATCACCAGTGAAGTTTTTCAGCACAGGCTGTAGGGCATGCTTATAAACTACAGTATTGGCTATACAATATATTTCAGCATGGAGGAATTGTAACTGTCACATGATTGAAAACACCATCAAATTTACATAAAACCAAACCCAGAATTTCTATTCCTCTTGTTACTCAAAGTGGGCAAAAGACAACTAAACAACCACAGTTACTGAACAACTGAGCTACATACACACAAACTTTTCTCTCAGGAATAATGTTTTTTCAAAATCGTTAGCTTACTAAGTATATTAAGAATTCTCAGTTACTAATTACATCAAGATTTTTTTTCCTTTGCAAAAGCCAATCTCTGAGACATCAAGTCAAAAGATTAGGAAACCCAGTTATCTATTAACTTTGCTCTGAAGTGATTTTGCCAACAAACCTTCAGCAATTGTAAGGAGAGATTTTATAGAGATCAAAGGGATCAAGACTGGAGAAAAAGCTCATTATAAATTTATTGTTTGCTAACTAGTGGATGTTTGCGCATGATCCATCTCACTCTTTGTCTCACTGGTTTGCCCTCATTCAGTGTTTTGAGACATTCATAGAAGATTAACAGGAATAAATCTTCCGCAGCCCCAGTGATGGATTTCAGTTCTAGCAGAACACAGCCAACTTCTTCCAGGGATTGAGCTGGAAAACTTGTTCAAGGACAGAACATCCAATTAGCAGATATTAAGAGAGCATCATTAATACTCTTCAGCTGACTCTCAAGAAACTACTAGCATCAATATCTAATGGGGGGAGGGGTAAATTAAGTTAATATACATCAGGATTTTTCCTCAGTGCATCCTATGTTACAAGGACTAGACATCTCTAGAAATCTGTATATTCTTCTAGGTCTCAAAATCTACTGCAATAAAAGGATGCTTAACTTTTTTCCTCCTCCACTCATCTCACTAGGCTCTGGACCATGAAATAAAGACCTGGAAATAAATTATGAACATCTGAGCACTCAAAGGGCTTATGAACATCTGCACCACAAATCCCTACACAAACTTGCATACTTTTTGAACTCTGCTCATACAGCATCAGATGGAGGTGTGCTACAAGAGCTTGACAGTGAAGTCAATACCAGTCAGTCTGCCCTTCGTCAAGTTCAAACCAGTGTAGTAAGAATTTTAAATATTATAAGCATCAAATTCCTGAAACTGGAAGTGTTCCACTAACTAAAGAAATCTAATTATGCTGTACTGGATCAATGGAAATAAACTTGGGTTGCTACTCAAGAGGTCGTAATGTGCAGCCTAAAGTAATGACAGAGCAATAGCTACTCAGACTGGAAAGGTAGGTAGGGATGGGCTCTCAAATACCAGTCAACAATTTGAAATTATCAGATGTCTTCTGTTAATGGTCTAATAAAATAAAAGATACCGCAGTCCACAGACCTATTAGGCTAAACTACTAGACAACTTTAGTACACTTCTAGAGGCCCTGGGTAGTGAGGTCTTTGCCTAAACACTAAGCATATCTAATTAAAGCATCTTTTGCCTGCAAAACTGTGGGCATGGGTAAGATGTCAACACCTCAAGATGTATTTCCATAAGTGATGGAGTGATTCCTTGTTCACGTGCTAGAAGTGAGAGCAGAGGAAGTCTTGATGTCCATGCACCACCGTCCAGACAATAAGGCGATCATTTTCACTGAGGAACAGTTGTAGCTGCTCATCAATTTGCCCTGACCTTTTGTCTTAGGCATGGCTTGGTTAAAATCCCATGAACACTAAATTTTGGGGCAGTCATTCTGGTTTTTGTTTTAAAAACAAATCTTAGTGGTGAATTTTCCTCAGGACTAAGCTGCTGCTTTAGTCAAGATTCAGACATTCCTACCACCATAATATAAAAATGTGATCAGAGTAACACATCAGGCATTCAGAAGCTGTACTCAGAATTACAGGGGGAGGCAACTCACAACTCAGCTCATTTCTCGCTGCAACAAAACAAAATTAGCCTAGACAAAAGTTTGGATGTAAACATTTTGTCTGCTCCAACCATGGGCAAAGATCTTGCCTTTAGTATGTTAGCTCTCCCAAGCTAAGCAGCAAAGGACCTGGGCTTATACTGAGATAAAAAATTCCCAGTACGCAACCAGAGAGTATTACAAGAAGTGCTGTTAGCGACCAAGTGTCCCTTTTTTCTTTGAGGGGTATAATGCTCCAGTGGCTGCCAGTGGTGCTCACAGCAGCGCTTTTCCACCTGTGATGGAGAACTCCAGTCTTGACTTCTTGTTCTCATTTAGACTCCTACAGAGCTTTTTAAGAAGTCTAGTGGATCCTGGCCTTCTAGTCATGGTTAAGTTTCAACTGAAGCACATGGTTTTGTCTGCCTCAGTCTTTCCTCCAATTTTATTTGGATAAAGTACTCTTCACATCCTGTCTTAAGGTGCAGAACAGTACTGCTAAGTACCTATTCTTAAATCTCTATTGCAATTCAATAATAAATTATTCACTGAATGTACTGCATATTCTGTGGTATGCCATGTAACAGCTAGATATTATTAACAGCTAGGCATATCATAAAACAGTGAACATTAATTACATTTTTCCAGAAGAGAAAAGAAATAGCTTTGTGCTCATAAAACAGGTCGGTCTGATCCTCAGCTTTGAGAAGTCTACCTCCCGCGCTGCTTTGGATTGCTGAAGAAACCTGGCAATAATTACAACTACTGTGCTGGCTATCCCCAGGACAATTAGTCTCAGGCCTAGAAAGCACAGACAGTCAGAATCCAAAGCAAGGAATAATGATAAGTATGTTCCCATAAAAATATTGTTTCCAGTACCTGATTCTCTATGGCCTTCCTGTTTTTTGGATCGCTGACAACTGAGAGCTGCAATTCTGCCATCTTTTTCATCTTGCCATCCATGTCAATCTTCTGGAAGAGACTCTTGGTTTGATTTTTCAGCAGCCTAACGGTGTCCTCTTTCCCAAGCTTCTTCGCAAAGAGGGAAGCACAGGCTGAATGTATGGCAGTAACCCAGTTTTCCAGATCCGTCTGGCTTGTTGCCTGTGAAACAAATTAATGGCGCAACATTACGAGCAGACAAGAGGGGAAAAAATAAAAATAAAACATCAGCAGCTCTAGGACATGAAGTGCTTGACAGTTTCAGTGTGATCTTAGGCACTTTATCTTAAAACGAGTGAAATAAAGATTTATCTTTAAAACTGTGTAAATAAAGGAAGTGCGAGCTTTTCCTGCACTCCGTCATGATTTGCCTCCAATCTTCAGCTTCTGCTTCTTAGACCTGCAAGGTCTGAGAGCTCCAGGAGCTCAACAGAGCCCCACAAGCTGTGGGAAAGATGTGACTTGAATCCTTCATCCCTCCCATTAATTAAGGTAAAATCCACCAGGTTTCAACAATAAACCTCCTCTGCTGCAGGTAACAAAGCAACAGAGAAGATTTTACATGTAAGGTCTGAGGAGAGGTGTTTGTTTACTTAAAAAATACCAAGTTAGTGGAGAGAGAGGACAGCCAGGTAAAGAGAATATATCTGCAGAAAGTGTCTCTGGAGATATTTACAAGCGTGCCTATGAATCCACAAGTTTCTATGTAGGCACTTCCACATAATACTGTTCTTTATTAACATTTCCAGTGGTGCAGTTAAGCAGCCAAGATCTTTAGATTATTTTTAGCCTTCTTTTTTGAACACCTTCCTCAAGCAAACTCACTTTGAGGGCAGCAGATTCAGGGCTGAGCACACCATTCTGTAAGGGTGCAATGCTAATAGATGTGAAAAATATTGATAATAACACTAATTTTCTAGAAGCTTGTAGCAACCAGGTACCAAAAGTGTCTTGTAAATTTGCGATCTTTGTTCTCTTTATTTCTGAACCATAATTGACTGAGCCAACTGGTGTAATATCATATACCTGAAGTCATACCCTACACTTAAATCAATATTATAACAGTATAGTGTAATAGTGTAATTATGCTATTATTTTTAAGTCAAAGGCACAAGCATGATGTGTGTGTGTGTGTGCATGTGTATATACAATTATATACATGCATGTGCATACTCCCAAAGAAATCCTAAAATGGAAACAACCACAAAGTTACATATGCTCACAGTTACCTGAAATAGGTAGACATCTCCAAAAGAATTGCTGAGACAGAACACATTTTCTTTCTTTGGATGTTCTGGAACAGACTGAACTATACTGTCTTCTGCAAACAGGGCGTATCGAGGCAAACTGCTCTGCTCCATCGAGTTCCTTCCATAGGTCTCGTAAAACAGCAGAGTACAACCTTTGCAGTTCAGAGGGACAGAAAAAAAAGGTAAGGAGAAAGTAAGTTCTGGATATCCCATTTGAGTTCTCTTATATTGATGCTTTTGTGAATTAAGACACCCTTCAGTGACAGGGAACATCACTTTTGAACGAGAAAAAAGGAAGATCTTCTAAACTGGAAAACAGGCAAAGTTAATGATGAATTTGCCAACAAAAAGTTGGAACAGACATCTAATAAGGACACAACAAACATCCACAGACTCAAAAAATAAAACAGGATACCTCAATATGGAAGTGTTCAAGGTCAGACTGGATGGGGTTTGAGTAACCTGATCTAGTGAAAGATGTCCCTGCCCATGGCAAGGGGGTTGGACTAGACATTTTTAAAGGTCCCTTCCAACCCAAATCATTCTATGATTCTATGAATAAACTCAGCCTATTAAAATGTTAAAGCATGTAGAAAAGATTAATCCCTGCTTAATTAAATCAGCTTTTGTGTTTCTTTATTAAATTGAACCAACTCTCTCATAACCGCCACTTAAGAAATCTTTGTATTTGTTGAAAAGATTTGCAGAAACTTTTGTCTTCAAACAACACGCTTAGCGAATATTCGTCTCAAATTTAAACTGTATTTCCTTGAATCTACCTGCAAACTGGAGACTAAAACAATTCCGAATAATTTAAAACAGTTCGAAGGGGCTGAGTTTGAGCATGTTCGGTCTTGTAGACAGTGTAACATCTAAGGTACGAAACTTGCATCCAGAAAACAAACCTCATCCTTGATGATGGCAATCCTGAGAGTAACAAGAGGAATTACTTCTGGAGGACAGCAGAGGAGACTTGATCCCAGTCCCCAGAAGTACAACTACGTTGCCATGTTGCCTTTGGCAGTGAAGTTGGCTCAGGAAGGCCCTGTCCTCTCCATCCCCACCAGCCTTTTTTCCTGTCCCTCATTACAAGCCACTGTCTTCTGAGATGCACCATTTCACCTGTTCAAGGGGTCACAGACTGAATTGCATTACTAAAATACTCTAGTCATAAACTAGATTTCTTAAGAATTTCTTAGGCTAGATGTACACCCAGAGAAAATAAGTAAATACACCTCACTTTCACCCCTGGGAAATGGCAGTTTAGTAACAGAGGGTTTGATGTTTTTCTTTTTTAATTTGGAAGATAAATGTTTAACCTGGAAGAACTAACACCAGATAATATAAATACATTTTGAAAACTGAGGATAACCTAAGAAGTCAGAAAAATCTGAGGCCGATGGTGGATTCTCCAGCAAGGCAAGCCTTCTCCAAAAAGATATGCTCAAATTCATTCAGGAATTAATTTAGAGAAGACCTATGGCTGCATTACATAGCAAGTCAGACTAAATAATCACAGTGGTCCCTTAGGGCCTAGTAATCCATGAATATATTACTGCTGCAAGCCCTATACATATTCAGTAGAGGAGTTAAAATTCAGCTAATACAAAGATTAAGTTTACTAGGGCTATGGCATTGTCATCTCTCTAGCCCACTTTTTGTTGTTGTTTTTCCTTCAAATCAAAAAGGCACCAAAACACAGGGAAGCACCAAAACTGAGATTTTGGGTTAATTTGCTGATTTTCAGGCTGTTGGTGTTTCTGTGTGACACACTGGGTGCATATATGCACATGGAAATAGGCCTAGGAAGTGCATATCAAGGGGACATCGCAAAACAGAAACGTTCCCTCTGTAGATGCTTTTAAAATAGTCAAGTAAAAACAGAGTTCAACTTTTATTTTAGTAATTATCTAAAATTTACACTTAATGCTGTATTAAAAATCCCAGACACATCATCCAAAGTCATGTAAATTCGAGGGGAGCTTCCTCAAATTTCGAAACTGAAATCAGAACCAAAAGCAGGGGTTTTTTGATTCTTCTGTCTGATAAAGGGGAAAGCTGGGTCTACTAGAGTTTATGGGACACATTTGCTGTGAGAAGTTATGAGGTGGAATACACCGGTCCTCATACAGCCCAAGTTTAAAGTGTATGAAAAGTGAGATACATCAGATGGATTTCAGCACATACTCCAGTGCTAATAAATGTACAGCAGTTACAAAAAAAATGGAAATCACAGAATCTCAGACTGGTGGGGGTTGGAAGGGAAGGGACCTCTGGAGACCATCCAGTCCAACCCCCTGCCAAAGTAGGGTCACCTACAGCAGTTACACAGGATCACGTCCAGGCAGGTTTTGAATATCTCCAGAGAAGGAGACTCCACAGCCTCTCTTCTCCAGGCTGGACAGACCCAGCTCCCTCAGCCTTTCCTCATCAGGGAGATGCTCCAGTTCCCTCATCACCTTCATTGCCCTCCGCTGGACTTTCTCCAGTAGTTCCTTGTCTTTCTTGAACTGGGGAGCCCAGAACTGGACACAGTACTCCAAATATATATATCAGAGGTTACTGACCAAATCTCCTGATGACTGACAAGTTTTCAAAGGAAGGAATCCAATAAATAGAAATGCCTCTATACTACTTCAGTGCGCCTTTTCCTCTTACTGTCCAGAGTGTCTGGCAGAATATTTAGGATAAGAGCAAATCCTAGAGTTGGTCCTATCCTTTCCCCTTAGCAGCCTTCACTTGATCTGCTTTATGACACCGAGACACTTGGAGATCTCTGCAGTTGGAAAAGGTGGCTATGGTTTGTTACGCTCTGCATATCAGGCATGGCACTTCTGTCCTCACTTCAACATAACAGGGCAAACTAAACCAAGGAAACCAAGTCCCCTCTTCTATTCAGCAGCAGCAGCAGCACAGCACAACCACTTCTACTTCTGCATTTTAGGAAAGTGCAAATTAAGCTCTATTTTAAACTCCCATATTTCCCCTATGCGTTATTGAAAATGTAACTAAAGATACATCTTTTTTTTATCCCGACAGTTTATATGTACATAAATAAAAAATATTGAAGGGCATGCGTGTTCAGGTGTACAGTACCCCAGGTATATCTTCAGGTCAAGCCATGTGAGCCCTGGAAGCAGCAGGTTTCACAAACTCTGACAGACCCACTGGGACTGATTATTGTCCAAGTATTTTAATCAAAACTTGAACTGAAGGGGGAGGTGCAATGGGAAAGCCATTTCCCTCGTTAAAACAAACTAACGAGACAGGATAGATGGAAAAGAGAGTTCCTCTTGTTAAAGGGTTACTATTCAAGCTCCAGTCTTGGTGGCCCTGGAAGTAAGGCAGAGGCCTCAGGACGTGTATACTTTGAAGTGTGACAGGTAACCAGATGGTTATAAGCCTTCCGTCTATTTATAATTAAACACATCTCAACAGAGTGCAAAGAAACATGCTGTTCTCCATTTGCATATGTGGCTATTTTAAGTCATATTTTTAAATATCTTGGCTATTTAAACTTCAAGAACAAATTAAACACAGATTTATTCAAAACCCTGTATAAGGAGAACCAAAGCAAGCGCCTTGATCTTGATATAGCATATTATGAAAACAGAACTACGCCTTGATATCCAGACAGGCAAGTTTGTTTTGGCATCAGAAGTCTCCACAGGACAATAAAGGTACGAGATCAAGGAAATGAGGAATGGATATTTAAAACAGCTAACAAAGCGGAAGAGATTCTGCGCCATGAATGCAGCCACATCACCCATCTGAAGTAAAAAGCATTGTATCTAATATTTCTTATAATGTCAGAAGTTAATAAAGCATCTTACAAAGAATTTTATTTTTATAGCTGGGGAAATTCAGGTAAAAAGAAGGGATGTGCCTTGTTCAAGGTCACCAATAAGCCACTTTTATAGCAAAGAACTAAACACAAAGCACCTAAAGTCCTTCCCAGAGCTTCATTATCCCAGAAATGCATGCACTACTACTAGATAATGTACTTCAGTTTAGAGTTTTGATAGGATTGTTCAGAAACTACTTGAATTTTAGAAGAGGCAGGTCAAACTCGTATTCATACTCCATAATGCAAACACATACAATAAGAGGGTGGAATTCAAATATTGTTTTTCCCTTTGTATACACTGCTCGTAGGCATGAATCATGCTATCCGATGATCAAGATAAGTGATTTAAACTGTTAAGACTGCCTACATTTTGATCCCTTGATAACAGGTCTCTGAATTATTAGGCAGAATCGCTACATTCTTGTGAGTTTGTTTCTTTTAAATCAGCACTATCAAGGACAACATTCCCAACACTTGCTGTTCGCTGTTGATTTCTTTCCAGGTCTACACCCATGCAGAATTTTGAAAAGGGCAACCTGTGGGAAAGTTGTTATTTTCTCTCCTCCAGTCCCAGATATGCTAGGAAATTATTAAGTTTGATCATTTCCTTACTCATTAACTCAACATTGTATTTACTGAAAGGCAAATCCTTTGGATGCAATTCAAAAAAAAAAAAAAGGCCTAGGAACTCACCCATTAAATTCCTCTTCCTCCCCACATGAGATGTTATTTTCCTTCTCGCATTTCCTGACACCCATACACGTCTTGCGGCACACCTACCTGCTCTATTACTCTGAGCCACTAACGTGCACCGTGGGCACAGCGCTGAGCACCAGCAGCCCCTTTTAGGAGGATTTTGCCTTCCCACTGGGCTGTTTCACAGCAGGAGAAGGCAGGGCAGAGGGGAAGATGGACATGCCAAAAGCAAGAAGGGCTTGGTATTGCAGGGAGTGGGCAAGGTGAAGGACCATCCAGGGAAAGGAGGGAGACTCGTGAGCCCTGGGAGGGGTCCATGGCAGCTAAGCCTTGGGCACTGCAGGGCTTCCCCTGCTATGGCTACTGCTTCAGCCTCCTCTGCTCTGAATCACACACTTTTCTGTGTAAATGCTTTAGCACGGGGATATGTTGCCACCTGAAGCACTGGAAACGAATTGAACATTTTTACATTAACTTACCCCAACTTTAAGTAAATCTCATAGCAGAGCCCAAGGAACTGCATGCTTGTGACAGGGAACTGGGCACCAGGGACTTCTCCTGATCCTTAAATTTTGACTCCCCCTGAGACAGAGGTGTAACTTCTCTATTTTTCTCAGTTTTGGTTCAGTTTGGTCCTTGATCTCCAAATATTCAAAAGCATTTTCTAAACCCCTAATTCTGCATGAGTAGAGCAACTAGGAAGTCAGACAAAACAATTCCTTCCCACTATGGTATGAAACGCCAGGCTTGCATGTGCAGTACCAAAGACATGAGCATCACCTCAATTCAGTGGGCTGCTCCGGCATATGCTCCACTTTAAGTGTGTGGGTAGACTGTGTAAAGCTGGATCTGAATTTCTGATCCCCCCTAAACCTGCTAACAGAAACCAGCATGCATGAAAAGTTGCTAAGACACAACAGAAGCAACTGCTGCTGCCAAGCCAAAGGAGCAACGTGGTGGTTTACCTTTCAGTGTGACCCAATACTGCTTCCACTTCCGCCGTGTGACCAGCTCCAGCTTCTTCTCCTTCTGCAGGGTCACTAGGGGTTTGAAGAACAGCCACCCTGCCTTGCGCACCACTCCTTGCTCTTTCTCATACAACAAATCCAGCTGCTCCAAGGAGCTGAGGGACTCGCCACTGGAGTCCTCCGTTTCCGACGAGGTCTCGGTGTTCTCCAGGTTTGTCCTGCTCATCTCCAGCTCTCGCATGAAGTTTTCGTAAATGTTCTGCCTCAGGGCATCACTGCTGACCGCGTTGGTGGACTCGCTTCTCTGGGACAGGACGTGGCTGGAGCCGGGTGACCACAGTGAAGCAGAGAGCTGCGACAGCGCCAGCGTGTCTGCGGTGAAGTTGTCCATTCTGCTGTTAAAGTATTCGTTCCCATCTTTACACTTTGGCTCCTGTGCAAAAAAGGAACTTGTCAGCAATCGGTCACCAGAGCTATGAAGAAAAGACACACCTCATCTGGCATTTAAATTTGTTTCATGTTTAGCCACGGCCAGTTCCTACATCAAGGGCCACGTCTTTTCACCATTACATCATCTGCTTTGCCTCGGCGGCCGCTGACATCATCAGTGCCACCACTCACTCTTTTCTCAGCAGAACCCTGTTAAACTCTAACCACTAAGTCTGCAAGCTTTGGTAACTCAGACACCTGCGAGTAATCTCCAAATTCACTAGTAACTACTGGGGCTTCTACTAGCTGAAACCTGAGGGATTCCAGGAGACAACAACATCCTCTGGCTGAACCCCAGGCACCACCGCTTACACGCCTGTTTGAGTACAAGCAGGAACAGCATTACAACAAGTTTCTTTATTATTACAGAGTTTTCAATACTTTGGTGACACGCCATTTGTGCAAGGCAGCTACATTTAGTTTCAGCACAGCTAGGCTGATTTTACCTCCGCTTTCTATTTGTCCAACTGTGCTTAACCAACACAAAAAAGGTCAAAAGTTGAGAGTATTTTAAGCTTGTTAGTATTGAACAATTGACAAAAATCTAATCTAACAGAAGAGGTGATTTAAAAAAGGAAAGACGTGCTTGCTGACTGGCAAGAAGCCAGTCTCCAGACCGCAGAGGTGTGTATTTTCTGACTTGCTGGAAATCCCCCAGGAGCTCGACTATCTCATCAAGCACCAACAGGCCTTTCTCCTAATTGCATTGTGCAACTTCACCCCTTGTATTGAGAGGGCTGGCCAATTTTATTTTAAATTCTCAGGCCTGATGGTATGACTTCAACTCTGCCTTGTGGCATGGATGCTAACGTAGGCCCGTTTCTTGCCACTGGTTGTGAACATGGGACTTTGTTGGCAATCTGGGCCTTTTCTTTCTTAAGCCATTCCCAGTAACGTGCTGACTGCTCCCAACTCTCCCACGTTCCAGTGATGGATGGGGATTTTTGTACTACCCAAAACAGAGCTCCTTGGACTAACTTCACTGTCGAGAACCACACCATCCATCATAAGAAGCCATTTACTGTCTTCCCAACTCAAGCGTTGCCGATGCTATTTAAAAGCAACCAAGATTTAAGAACATACAACACAAAAAACCTGCTGCCTTTTGCAGGAAAAGTGTGAGGGAAGAGAAAAGAAGAGATGGCTATAAACAATTCAAGAAGTGAAGCTACTACCCTCAGTAACAATAAAACTATTATACTTTCAAGTTTAGACTTGCCTCTCTAAAAGCATTTATTTGCTCATAGACTTCTGTACACAAATAAAGTAAATAAACCTTGGTCTCCTGTGAGCTGCTCTCACCAGCAGCTTTGAAAGCAACTATTTTTTTTACTTCCTTTGCTTCCTACTTGATACTCCTCAAAACTGCAGCGGAAAAGCTCTGCTGTGTTTTGATAGCATCAGGACCTCCAATGCACAGCCAAGAGCAACAGTGGGGTCACAGACCATCCCATGCGTCGCCGGCGAAGCCACTTCTCAAGCAGCAGGACACCGGTGGTCCTGGCCTCGCAAAAGCCAACTTGAACCAAAACCCATGTTCTCTTATGGTACGCTGAAGTCCAAGTCTGGCTTTTCAGATCACTGTGTCTGGCAAAAAGGGTCCAGTTCTCCTGGTAATGGAGCACGTTCCTCAAATCTTATTGCAGTGTGTTAAACAGCATTCTCTGAGAGTAACTTCCTAAACATCAACGGTTTTGCTTTTTATACGGTAAAGGGAGGGAAATCACGGTGGGGAATAATCACGTAACGTGTTTAAGCCCACAAAGCGACCGTACAACATGGATCGTACAACTGCACCAGGCATCTGCAGTTCGGTGGGAAAATGGAAGCTTTCTTCACCCTCTTTTTAATTACTGTCACTGCACATGTGTGCCAAAATCCTGTATTTTAATTGTTTGACTATTCTCCAGGAACTGCCAGTGTCCTCTAGAAAACATTAACATACAGTTTATTAAGAATATTCAGGGGTTGGACTAGATGACCCTTAAAGGTCCCTTCCAACCCAAAGCATTCTATGATTCTATGAATATGTATTTCTTTCAGTCCCAAAGCACTAGTAAGGAAAACAACATGAGACGCACACAGAAGAAAGTGTCTGCTGTGAAGGGTCACTCATGGACAACAAGCATTAACGAAAAGGGTGGGATACAACCTGTCCGTGAACAGCCACTAACCACATCCTATGTTTTCTCCACGCACACAGAAAGAGTAGAATTGAGGAAGTACCAGAGCAGAGTAAATGGACAAAGGATCCAAAATGAATATATACACTTCACCATGACAACATCACTTGTATTTGATTTTTTTTAAAAGAACAGAATCGGCAGTCATGCACTCTCTGCTGGTCCTCAGAGAGACTCTCACTGTAGCAGTATCTGATCACCGCCGAAAAGGTCTGACCCAAATTGCCGCTGGTGGTGGTTTCCCTGCCAGGTGACTTTCTGCTTGTTTTCCCTCTGTTGTATCTAGCGATGATATAGAAAACTATGACCATTTCTGCTCAGCTGCATTCAAGCAGATCTCTCCATGTCTGAGCTATACCCTGGAATAGTCATAAATAATGCAAAAGATAAAGTGGCTAACTAAGATACCAATTAGACAAAGTGACACATGTAATAATTAGCTGTAAAGAACAGTGCAGGAAACAATGCAGCCTGCTAAATTCATTAGGACCCAAGCTGAAAGTAGACTCTAATACCAGTTTTCAAGCCAAATAAAGACGTTGTCTCAATGTATCTTTCTTTTAAATTCTCTTTACACCACACTTCAGGGCTCTGCCTCATAAAGTCAGGAAACTTTAGAAATTATTCCCATAAAGAAGCTATTTACTTCCTTGAAGAACCAATCTGCAGCAGCTGTTTCTGGTAGCTGGATTTTCATTTTACACAGCGTTTCCTCATTTTCTCCATGTTACACAGTTGCACACTGAGTTTACACTACACCTTTAAGAAGCAGCTGGCTGTGTAACAACTCTGCCTAAAATCTGTCCGCAGATCTCATATACATCACATGTACCTTGCTGCTCACACACTGGGATACAGCATCTCCCCAATGTCATTTCAGCAAGGATTAAACTAAATGAGGACATGCCATGCAGTAGAGTACCAGCGATGGATTAAGCGAACGCATCAGGACACCCTCATGCAACAAAAGCCAGGACACGGCACAGAACGACTGCAAGTCTTGATGTGAAATCATTCAAACGCAATTCCAGGAGATATCAGATCAAGTATCAGATCAAGTCAGATATAAGGAAACATTCAAGTCACTGGACAGGGCACAGCCGAGGGCTCCTCTGGAATACCCTATATCTAAATCTGGTTATGAATGATTTAAAATAGGTGCCAAGGAAGGGTGCCAGAACGAAAAGGAAACAGACTTCCTCTCTTAAGACAGGAGACCAAAGACAGTCTGCATAGCACCACAAACACAGGCTGAGAAAAGATACCATTTCTCTCTTTAAATAAATCGTAACAGATGAAACGATAGGGAAGAATACCTAATGTAGCGGACAATATTGGTATCAGAACAAACTGGCTGGGACTACATTTACCCTGCGGATTGGTGAGCAGCAGAGTAAAAGGGTTTGGAAACAGCCTTCAAGATGGGGAAAAGCCCACCTGATTTTAAGCAGTAGTTTGTTCATAAAGGGGATTAAACTCCACCACATTTCTAGTGGCAAGGGACTGCCCTCAATATCCCAAGATGGTGCCTCCTGGTCCTGCATCGCCGTGAAGCAGGACGCTTGGCTACCTTGTTTCCATTGGGGCAGCCAGAGGGATCTATCGACTCCACCAGCACTGGTGCTCAGGTCTACTTATAGGGAAATATTCCAGTTTTCACCTAAGCTCAAGCCCAAGTGACTCACAATAACGTACTGACAAAGGGACATGTTGTTCAGAGCAAAGCACGGAGGCTACAGTCACTGTGATGAACAGTCCTACAAACGGGGACTACCCATTGGACAGATCACAACCGCGCACGGTACTTCTGCGTTTTTAAGCCAAAGGACCCGGTGAGAGTATAATCGTTACCAAACTACAACACGGCAACCCCCAGAAGAGATGGCAGGTTAATCAAACCATGCAAGGTGGAAAGAAGTTGACCAAGCTTCACAAAGAAGGCAAAATCATAAAGCATTTGCTACCTGTCTTATCCTTCCTGTCACTGGATACTTGTCTGATAAAAACCAATGACTATTTCCTATGCCTTTTTCTAAGAAATCACCATTTTTGGAGCTAGGGCTGATTTTCTTCTACCAGAATCAGATTCAAGCTTGGCGCAATCTCGCCATCCACATTTCCTTGCTGTGTCTGAAGTCAGTTCACTGCACAATGAATTCAAAACAGCTATGAATTTTGCACCACAAATACCATTCTGAAAATGTCATAACTAAGTAATACATGACAAAAGTCTGGGATGCAGAGATCGTATGTAAAGCCTGGCTGTAAAATCCAGAACAGCTACAGATGTCGAAACTGGTGAAGAATCCTGGCACAAGGCACTGAGGCTCTTCATCGATTCCACGTTTTCTGCCTTCTCTTTCACAGCTGAGAAAGAAGGTGAAAAGAGAGCATCTGATAAAATACACAAGCACCAACTCACAAAAGAAGTGATCCAAATAAACAGCTTTCGTTTTCATTTTTCCATTTCTGTAGCCCTTACCTAGGATTTGTGCTGTCAAACCTTAGGCTGACCTCATTTCTGAGCCTAAGGGTCCGTCAGAGTTTTACATTGCAATGACAGATGTCTCCTAAGTAGGCACCTGTCTGAATTTCCAACACGGGAGACAGCGTTTGCTCTACATGCCACACAAAGCCTATGCTATGATCTACCGCTTAGCTGCTGCCTAAGTTGCAGAAGTAGGCATTCCTTTCGCTCTCCGCTCATTTCTGAAGTGGTCAGCACCCCAATGCTGCTGAAAGGGAGCAGATCCTCCATTTACAGAAGCACAGTGACTCTTCCTGTATGAGAAACACTAGGGAAGACTTAAAAAAAAAAAAAAAAATCCAAACCCCAAAACCGTCTCTGCCCTCCATCTCAGCTTGCAAACTTATGTGCGGAAGTCCAGGCACAGTCTGGCATTTAAAGAGCTGATTCTGGGACCAACATCTAGAGATAAGAATTTCATTCCTGACCACAGGCATCCTAAATTCCTGTTAATGGGATTAGCCTTAAATTCTTCTAAAGAAACATCCCTTCCCTCCCTCTTGCCCTCCTCCCATCTCCTTCACAGCACCATCTCCCAGCAAGCCAGATGGCAACTCAAGCTTTTCCATCTGGTGAACTAAGCTGACGTGCGGGAAGGAGGAGGGCACGCCATGTCATGCCTTCCGAGGAGGTGGAGACAGACCCAGCAGCTCTGGTTGACACCCTACGGTTGCTTGCCTTGCTAGAGATGGACTGATAATTAAACCAAACTGAAGCCAGTAATACAAATAGGGAATACCTGCAAAGATATTTATAACATCCTGCTTCTACTGTTCCTTCCTTGCACTCTTTAGATAACATATGCTGATTCATACATATACCTAGGTTATATTTTCATAGTGGAAATAAAGAGAAGGCTTAAAAACTCCAAGTCACTCTTTAACTAGTGCAACGATTTCAAAAGCTAATTCACTGAGAGATTAGGCTGCAGAGATTGGAGTTAGCTAAGAAGGTGACAAAATAGGAAGGGAAAATTTGTACACACAAGCGTTTATCTTTTTTTGCTGTTGATGTTTCAGACAGTGCCAGGGATGCAACACTTCTCAGAATTCCACAAACTACTACATGAAATTAGCAAGTAATTACCCTGCGAGAAGGACAAACATGATGCAATCACTACATTTATAAGAGGAACCTACAAACCAACTTTCAGGCACGTAGGCTGGGAGTTGTACATACCTGCAGCTTCCTTTTCTTCCTCGAGAGACTTCCCGTCCAGTCACTGATGCGTCGCATTCGGTTTTTTAATGTATCCTTCTTGGATGCATCCTCGCTGAGGGGCTTGGACTTTCTGCATGGGAGTGTGTAGGAGGAGTAATGTGCAGGACTTCCCTGCTCTACCCTGGAGGGAACATCAATGTCTGAGGCAAATGAGACACGGTTGCTCAAGCTACCATGAGTGTCGATATACTCATCAGACAGCCTGATCCCAGGTGGAGGAGTGCTTTCCAAATTTGTATCCTTATAGAGATCTCGAAGTGAGGAAAGAGATGAACTTTGGTTGAAGGACTTCTTGTTGTCGCTTGCTGGGAAACTGGCATGAATGCTTGTATCTGGAGTGCTCCTGGTTAAATATGGACCATCCAACTCATTGATATCCCCAGCATTTCCCCACAGAGAGTCATACCATGAAGACTCGGAGCTGAGGGAGCTTCCTTTACTAGATCGAAGCCTTGAATCAGTAGGTGACAGATGATGGCTTGAAGAACAGTCTGCGCTGGAGTTCCTCCTGACGTCGAGCAGCTTATTTGGCTTAGATTCCAAGGCAGGCGAATATCTCAGCAACTGGACAGGTCCAGTGGACTCCTCGGTTGGTACCTTGCTGTTGCTGCTGTTGTGGAACTCGACCCTCAAGCAACCATCCAGCTTCCCCAGCGTTTTAATGAGAACTTTCGGACTCCTTCTGTCCTCTGATGGGGAGGTTGATGCAAGACCCTCATTCTTTCCGTAGCAATTTAAGATGTGTCCATTGCATTCTCGAGAGGCAGCATGATTACTTCCAGCTTGAAGGCCAGCATAGTGGAAACCATTCTCGGGCAAAAACACTGCATTATTTCCTTGGCAGTAGTCCCCTGAGACGTTTGTCCTGTGTTTGGCATGGGCATTGCTTTTAGAGACCTTCACCACAGTGTCACCGAGTCTAGATGAATAAGGCTGACTACTCTTGAAGTGCGAAAGGCAGCTTCTGGCAAGGGACCTTGATTTGTAGTTTGGGCCACCACTGGTATGTCCCCATCCATGCACAGAGCAAGATTTTTCATCTTTAGCATGAATGCTGCGAATTTTCAGAGAGCAAGGCTTCTGCTTGGCACCAGCTATAGCAGCAGTATGATTTTTTGATCCCTGAAGACTGTATTGGCTTTCTGAATTCCCCATTTTCCACTAAATTAAGAAGAGTTTCATTAGAAACAATGGCTAGAAGACAGAGCAAAAAGTAACAGACCAATTTTACCCTCTACACAGGAAAGTGTCTTTTTAAAAATGAAATGAAACAATTGTTTCCAAAAAAGCCATTAAATAGCCATTTACAACATTAAATTCATAACTGAACTTATTTTAGGGGCAGGCTCGGAAAGCCTATTCTCTGTATGGTTCATTACCCTCCTGTTACAAAGCTGGAATCTAACTCCATTGAAATCATGTCAACACCTTTCTCCACCCACACCCTTGGCAACATCCTTTTCTTATAACTTATAAAATCTCTGGCTCCCAAGAACAATGGCATAATGAAAGGGAGACAGCAAGATAATCATAACTTAGATGTAAAGTGAACAGTAGTTTCAGAGAAATCCCTTCTGCCAGGAGACAAGCCCACTGCAGTTTCAGCTTGATTGGTTTCTGTGCAACCAAGTGTTGCCTCAATGAACTGTTCAGCAAACCCCAACTTTGGGTTTGAATGGAGTCAATCCAGGAGAAAGGAAAACAACAAATGAAAAATAACTTAGCGAATAGCCTCATCTTCCTTTACAGTACAAAACTGCATTATGTTCGTTCAGCATGGCACAGTTCGATAGTTCACTTAGTAAAACCCTCTTCAACTTTTTACTGAATTCCCAGTGAACAGCACACACTGGAGCAGTCCAATTGCCCCAGTGAGATGACTGAAGATTTTCAATCCACATAAACTGTACCCCAAAGTAAAAAAGATCAATCTGTTCTTTTTGTTACTTGGAGTGAATCTCCACTGTTTGTAATTTACAGAAACAACATCAAAGTGCTTTTTCCATTGGCACTTTGCACATCAGATCTCAGACTATCACTCCTTGGAGAACACACTGCAGCCTCATTAAAATTTTGTCAGAATAAGTTGTTATGAAAGCACAATCTTATTTTCTAGAGTTCGTATAGATTTTAACATCCCTACTTCTAGCCCTTAGCACTTCTAGATGGAAAGCATAGTATAAAACGAAGAGTAAACCTGTAGGATCACTCTTAAAGACAGGCACGGTTAGCAGTTAGCACACTCTGCATTGTCTTCTTGGCCAGCCGCTACACTTGCCAAAACCAGGATGGAGTAGCACGCAGCCTTCCTAGAAAACACCAAAAAGACAAAAAAGAGGGTTTTCAGTCAAGTAGAACTTACACTTTACTCCAGCTGTAAGTAAAATGAATACCAAAAAAAAGTCAGACTGAAGTTACAAATGGAGAAGAGAGGTCTGGTTAAGTTAGGGTAAACTTTGAGTCCCCTCTAGTTTTCTTTTTGGAAGACCAGTTACAGACGTAGGATTGTGCAGTGATCCATTACGACGTGGACCAAACTGATTGGAGCAATGTCCCGCAGCATCTGTTTATCCTTCCCCATGCCTGGATTCCAACTCTGACCCTTGCAGCGAAAGGCCACTGCGCAATTCACTCCACCAACCAACCGCTCAGCAACCTCCTTCTTTAGGTTTATTCTGGTTTTAAGTTAATCTGCCAGTAAACTAAGAAAAAGGCAGCACCAAGCACTGCACATACCCAAAGGTAACAAGACCCAAGTTCTTCCTGACCATCTGAACGTGTTGGCTCTTCCCTTGGCACACAAAGCTTGCAACTCAAAACCAAAGGACAGAAGCTGAATCTCAGAGAACACACCAGCAGTTTAGGGATTGAAACACTCAGTAGAAAAGAAGCTGTACAAAATCTTCAGCTCAGTTTTGAAACGTATGTTTTAGCTAGAAATCATTCTCAGTACACTACCCCCAAAAATATTCTTTTCTGCATAAATTCAGTGGCTACTGTTCATAATTTTCAATCGAACATGCAGAGTTTTGCTCTTTTTGACTCATTCCGTGGCTATTTACTGTATAAGAACCTTGAATATATTTAAAGGAATTCACTAGTAACCTAGGTATTTTGCTAACCTTACCAAAAACAAAGGTAAAAGTTGCAAATTAGAACTAAAACCAGTCTCAACAGCAAGCCTAGAAGAAGGTTAGCAAATAAATGACTTAAAAGAGAAATATCCTTCTGGATCACGCTAGAGACGCTACAGACCTATAAACACCAATTCATGGCTGTTATCACAAAGGTATTTGATAAAACAGATAAGCCACAGAAATTTCATCTTACACTCCACCCCAAAAAAGAAAATCTGTTTAACTTGCTTATTCTCTCTAACAGTTTGGAAGGCTGCTATTTAGGACACCCTTGCCTTGCAGGTTTGATGCTGCTAAGTGCATCCATTTATGTAAAGAGTTTTAAAAATGTCACATGTAACATGGATTGAACAAAAGACTTTTGATTCAGGGTAAACAGAAGACAACACACAAACTTCCTAAGCTCCAAGCTACTGAACAAATTGCAAACCCCCAGCAAAACTGCCTTCCTCGATCCAGGAGGCACAGTCCACAAACAAGCAATGAGTTTACATTCAGAATTCTTCATCTGGGAGCAGAAAGTACATTCAACAAGGGGGCTTTGAAGGGCTTATATCTATTCATAAGGGAACACTGAACCCAATTTGTCTAAAGAAACAGGCAAAAAGACCATCTGGTCTCCATAGTGATTGTGCAATGGTTAAGTAATCCTTTTAACAGAGTAGGTAGGGAGCAAGCTGCCGTCATGAACCTCAGAAGATAGACATTCAATTCGTCAAGGCTCGAGCCGCTGCTACCAGCGTCCATTGTGCAGGTCTGATCCAATACACAGGTCACATAATGGGTGAACGAATAAATTTATCTCAGGGTACAATGTCTACAAAACAGCTTCTCAGTCTGTGCAGGAATCAGTCAGCAGTACAACAGAACAGTCAATAAATCCCATAGAAATAGCCCTGAGGAATTTTTCTCAGCATCCCAGCCATCCAGAAAGCTACAGCAGGCTAAACATTTGCTGCAATAACCCACTGGGGCATCTGCGAGGCTGCACAAAGACCGTCACCCTGAAAATCAGCTGCGATGCTTTTCTCTTGCCTCACACTTGTGTAGTCATTTTCTTTCTGTTAATTACAACGAGGAGGAGCAGAGCGGGTCAGCTTGTGCCCAAAGGCAGTGGGATGTTGGGGTAAGGGGATGGTCATGGATAAGCTCACTCCAAACCCTCACATATTTTACAGTTTGAAATGGGGAAGTACTGGAAATTACAGTGCAAGGGACAGAGTTCAGCTTTACTTATATCTCTCGCAGCAACCTACCACTGCAGAACACAACGTGCTTTTCTCTCTTCCTATGCAGAGGGATGAATATTTCTTGTGAGCAAAATCAGTTTCTATGAATACTTTCTGCAATTATAACCAGCACATTTAGAAAGCAGTTCACTGCGCCTGAAGATGTCTATTAAGAGTTTATTTGCTTTCAATTATATCCACATTCCCCCAAAAAGACATTTTTAATCCTCACCCTGGTTCCCCTTAACACATTCAAAAAACACAGCTATGCAAACATACTAATCCGGGAACCCCACCATCTCCACCACACCCAATAATTAATGCAAATCATAACCTCAGAGCTAAAAACGTATTTCCCCACCTTGGGGCTTCTCCACATAAAGTTCCCCGAGACTTTTTCAGCTCTGAAAAACAAACACGCAAGCTCAGGAGTTGTTCCGGAGAAGCGCCTGCCACCAAGGTTCCCTCATTAATATCCTCGTATATTATAAATGCTAGAGGGGGAAACGCCTTTCTTAAGATTAAGGCGAGTGCAAGTACAAGTAATGCTCTGCAATTGCATGGGTGCTTTCCTCCCACTTTTAATCTCTCATAATAAAAGTTTACAAAGCTTGACTCGTGAACCATATAACAAGCAAAACTGAATCCTAACAATAATATCCCAGTACTAGGTTTGCTTATGAGATATAACAAGGAATTATTAGATTATGAATTAGCGGGAGATCCGAGTCAAAGGAAACAGGCTCCTGTGCTGGTCTCATCCACGACAGCGGGAGCACACACCAAACATCATTTCGCTGCTGCCAGTCGTCTGCTTCCAGTACAGTTGCACAAACCAGGCTGCGATTCTACAAAACTACAGGTCATAAAAAAGCAAGCTCCAGACTGATGGGAGGTGAGCACAGAGCTGTAAGGAGACCATTGGACAGTGGCCATATATCAATTATGAAAAGGCAAGAGATTGTGGTAGCATCTTCCCAGGGAGGGTCAGCAGATTTCCCTGGCTGGGACTGACAATCTCATCACCCAGGGTGTTGTAAGAGCTTAACTAACGTCAGCCCTAGCAATGTTAAGCTTTAGCCTGGATCAAGAAGTTACCCTCATGAGACATGAACACATGCACCAAAGCTATCTCTCTGATGTATTTTGATGTCTTTATTCCTCTGGACGGCTGGTGACAACAAACTTTCACTGGCAGATCTACAATAAGGGATCTACAAACTATTTAATCCCTCCTGAAGCTTCCCCAAAAATCTACTGATGAGGTACAGGGAAGTTGATGCTCACTTCACTAAACAAGGCATCAGTGCAAAAACGGCTAAAACAACAACAACAAGATTGGTGCAGATGAGGATAACATCATCCCACCAAATTAGCACCACTGACTGAGGACTCATTAAGAAATGCAGGAACTCATGAGAGTCTTCAGCATTACCAGAAACAGTAACTATGCACAGCGGAAGAGCTTAAATTTAAAATCTCCTGTCTTTAATGAGAAAAAGGATTTTAAAAGAAGAGCTAGATTAAGAGCTAGAAAATAGGTAAGAGCTAGAGCTAGTTGCCTTACCCCTAAAAAATAAGAGCCTACATCTCTTCAGTTCGTTACGACGACACACCAGAACACTGTTTAAACTTTCTAAGAAGGTCTTTCCTTGAGGAAAGGACAGAAAATTATTCAAGAAAGAAATAAGCTAACCAAGTATTTTATTCCTACTTGTAGCTTAAGCAGCAACCATGTGTCCCAACCTCTTCAGACTTTTTTCATCAACAGGAAGATCGTTACCTGCACCAGTGCGGTACCTTTCAGCGGGCGTAGGACCAATTCTCGAGTACCTACCACTGGACATTGTCCCTCACAGCCATCCACACGGGTACACACGTTTGCCAAAGAAAGACAGAGCTTCAACTCACTTTGCAGCAATATAAATACTTAGACAAAGGGCCTTTATACGCAAAGGGCAGAGTATATCGCACTAAGTACTCTCTAGTGATGAAGCAAGAGGAAAGAGTTATGCGTGCTTTCTGCTGTGTTTGAAGACCCTATTTCCAGAAGGGCAGGTAAGAACAGTCGACTGCAGAGCGGGACTGCGAGAACAACCTCTGGACTGCCAACGGCGGAGCGGGAAGGCATGGAGAGGAGAACCAGCAGCGCCAGGGTCTTTACGAAGGCTCTGCGTGCTGGTTCATAGCGCACCATAGGAGACTGTCATCAGGATTTGTGGAGCTGGGCTAATGGGAGAATTTGAAAGTACTTCAGAGCAATAAAAAAGGAAACAGAAAGCCTCTTCATTTCTATGAAATGACCAACTTGTTTTCTTTTAACAGCAGATCTAGTTAGAAATGTTGCAGGCTTTGATGTACAGCAACTACGTTAGTGTTTTTTACATCAGGAAAAGCTTTTTTTGTTTTTTTAATTGACCAAGTAATTCCTATTTTTTCTTTCAAACTACTTTTACATTCTCTTTCACTTAATGGTTAAAACATCATCCATTTTAAATGGCTTATAAAGTCTTAGAAATCGTATATAACCATCTTTCAGATACTAACGTGTTCCTAAGTTTCGCAAAGAATCAATGTGTTTTGTGAATTCTTACAGGGATACAGAATTACAGGTTTAAAGTTTTCACTAACTTTTAATCTACTTTGGGTTTTAATATGAAAGCAATACAGGATGCTAGAATGTGAACCTGCTCTCCCCTTCCCGCACGGCTGTGTATGGACGGATACGTGAAATTAATGAGAGAGGCAGGTTAGCACAACACTGTAGCTGGATTAAATGTGGAGTTTCTTACTGGAAACAATTTACTGTATTTTTTAGAACTACGCACTTTGGTCACATGCTTCCACAAATCAGAAGCAGATTTCTTATTCCTGCAATCTCAATCACATTCCTATTACAAAAATATACCATAATAATTATACCGTGGTATTCTTGGCAGGATA